TGTACTGGAAGAATTTTAGGCTTGGTACCGAGACAGCTACGAGGTAATGGTGGCATTGGCAGCCAATTGCTCCATTCAGGAGGGATCAGGCTGGAAGGATAGAATGTGGGGCAGTTCAAGAAAGAAGGGGGTTTTCAGTAGAGAAAGGAGTTAAGAAGATGCAATAGGCACTGTGCAGATGCCACAGAAGTAGAAAGGGTCAAAGGGAGACCTGGAGAGTAGAATTTTTCTCCCATTTTTTAATGCAGACTTCTCTTCAGAAATCTCAGCTTTAAGCATACCATCTGCAGTTCCCTTTCCTTCTTCCTTCCTTCCACTAAAATCTCCAAGGCTTCTTCCCTTTCCCTTTTCCTTTCCCCCCCCATAATGTTTGTGGTTCCTTCTGACTCAGATTCCTTCTAAAGAAAAACGGGTACTATATACTTCCAAGCAATGTTTTTTGGATAGCTGCTTCCCTTTAGGTTGATGGCATTTATGCATAGGAAGTTTTTGTCCATATGTTGCCATGGGTATGAACATTAGGTCTGGAAAGTGTAATTGCCCAACTTGCAGTCTGAGTGCAGCACAATGCAGGGAAATAGTTAACAAAACCGTCATCCAGCCAAATGCTAATATTTGCATTTGCCATTGATCTGTAGAGAGCAAAACTGCTGATGGAAATATTTTTCAGTTTTATTGCAGGCACAGATGATATTGTGGGAGAGTGATAGTAGGTCTCATCCTAGCCCCAAAGTGATCCCAGTTATATTTGAAGTATTGTGAAATGTTCAGGGCTTTGTCTTTGTGATTCTCAAATCACTGAGTCTGGTTGCTGATATCCCAGGCAGGAGTTTGAGAATGAAACCATGGTATCACAAGACTCCAGATTTTCTGTGCAAGATAGAGATGAGAAGAAGCTTATGTTTGGTTACCTAATTCACTGGTTAGCTGAAGATTTAACTGCTGCATTACTATGTTAGCACTTCTTAAATGGACACCTCAAATCGATAACCTTAAGTAACACTGAGTCTGTCCTTCCTACATCTCTTCCCCACACCCCTGTCCTCATCCCTGCCAAATTGTCAGGATTATTATTGCATTAAAACAGATATATATTAGAAGCCCAAGTCAACATGCTCTATTGTTTTGCATCCTGCTCCCTTGCTCCACTCCAGAATGACTTCATTTCAGTTAGATGATAGATAAAGTATGTAAGATTTTTTCCAAGCATTTCTAACCCTAATGTAACCTGTTTTATTGCCTTTTCATGCACTTGACCCCTTTTCATTTTCTAGTGGCTGAAATACTAAGATAAAATTATTAAGATGCCCAACAAGGTGTAAATAAGTGCTCATGTGTCATAAAATGGCACATGCAAAAAGTTCACTGTAAGAAAGAAATGTTTATTTTAGCTGTCCTGATATGAAACAGAAGAAAAACCCATGAAGATGAAGATGAAGACCTGTTATCTCTCAGATCATGTCACCTTGCTGCACATACAGTATTGTGCTTCCCTGAGGACACAGTTTGAACTCCTTTGCAGCCCTACCTTAGTTCTTAAAGCAGTTGACTCCTAATGAACCTTTGTTGTGAGTGCAAAAATACCAGGATTGAAGCCAAGTGCTCTTCAATTAAAGATATATTTAGGTAGGTGGGAACATGTAGAAATTTTGACAGCCATATCAGGCAGCACTGCCAAAACTGAACTGCTTTGCAAAACTACATCCATCTTGGTTTTCAACTTCATTAAAAAAGAGAACCAGTATTGAGGGAGAGGTGAGGTGCATCTGTGGAAAGGAGAAGAATTTTTAAAAATACCAGGATGATGTATTTGGTCAGGTTTTTGTTTCCATTTTTAACTTTGAAAATATGGAAGAAAATGTCTAAAAGTAGAAATCAAATTAATTGCTTCAGAAAAAGAATCTTGATGGAATATTTCAGTATCAAAGCTAAAATTATCACAGTCATTTCTGAAATTTGGGCTTTCATCCCTCTCATGGCCCTACTGAGCAGGTACCCTCCTCAAGTGTTTGAATAAAATAATTTTGTAATCAATGGATTAAAATGTACACCTGGGCACATCTGTTTACTACAGCACCGTCATCACTTGAAAAGCAAATTGTGTTGCTACAAGATTTATTCATCTAGCAAAAGAGGAAAGAAAAAAATTGTCTGAACTTGCAGATGCTTTTCCCACAGGAGTAATGACTCTTAGGTAAATAATCACTTTATTTTGCAAGTGCATATGCTTTCATTCTGCAAATTGGTTTCACCTCTCCTGCCTTTTTTCTTTGGTGCGAGTCTCTGCTAAATCTAGCAAGCCTCATTATTCCATTTTCAAATATCAAAGCTATAAACACCCAGGTCAGAGTTATGTAGGAAACCCATTGTTTTCAAGGAACATCTTGAAACCTCAAAGTTGGTGTCAAATAAAAATCTTGGTTAGATAGCACAGTGAATGACAGATGTTGTTTGTCTGTAACGTGGAAGAAATACAGGTTTTTAACATCACCTTCTGTGGTCAGGTCACGACTGAGGAAAAACAGACATACAGCAAACATCAGAAGTGATGGAGTAGTCTGGTAAATGAATTCCTTTGCAATACAACTCTTGTCCAGTTATGCATCCAGCATGCACTATGTGGTAGTTTGCCACACCTCTGTACATGACAAACAGTATTTACAGTGCTGAGCAGCTCTGGTACTAAAATACATGATCAGTGGGCAGAGCAGGGGGGCACTGCTCTGCCTGGCTGTGGTCTGGAGTATGCCTAGGTCCACCCATGTAACTTCACAGAAATAACTGGGTGTGCTCAGAAATGACACCAGTGCAAGGAGGATCACAATCTTTCCCTGAATCTTTGTTCATGGGTTGCCACAGTTTTTGCCAACTCTGTGTTATGAGCAGCAGTTGATTTTTTTTCCTCTTTTTTTTTGCTGTCTTTCATGATACACATGCATGTCTCATGAATGTGACTTATTGTTTCTCTTTTAAGCTAAAATGGTTGAAGGAAAGGTATGCAACTCATTCCTGAGGGAAGATGAGTTAGTAACTTGCCCAAGGAAAGTTTGTTCTAGGCAGTTAGTGATTAGCTCTTGTTCTTAGAACTTGAAGGTATCTATTTTTCAGATAATTATGTCTTAGGGAGTATATTGTGATATATTTCAGCTGTGAGTATGAATGTTAGTGCCTTTTACAATTTTCTAGCCTGTTGTTTCAGGAATACTTTGTCAGCGAATTTCACAGGTTAATTAAACATTGTTTAACAAAATGCCAGTTATCATTGTCTCCTCAGACTCTGTTCATTGTCACAGTATCTGGCTGTGAGGTAGGAATCTATTGCATTGCCTTTGTTTTCAGCTCTCAAAGTACCATGATTTCCATACCTTCTATCTTGAAATCTTCCAGTTCCTGTAAGGTTTACTCCTTTTCCCTAAGTGGTTTTTTTTGTTTGCCTGTTTGTTTACTCCTACCAATGGAAAAATTTGATGTGTGGCAGCTAAAGCTAAGCACAGAGCTCAGCGTGGAGCTAGGTATTAATACAGGGATTGCCACTGTGGATGAGCTCAGTTTTTGTCCAGCTCAGCTTTCCCTCTGTGACAGATGCCACTGGTAAGTGTTTCAGAGAAAAGTGCAGCACGGCCCCAAGTAAGGAAATAATGAACCTGACTCAGAAGGCTTCCCCTATCAGTCTTTTAAGCTGTGCCATGAAAAATGAGTCTCTCTATATTTACTTATTACACCCAGTCTAAAGCAGCTCTTGGGGTTTTGTTGTAACTATCTCATCCTTTCTGATATTCTGCTATTTCAGAGTTTCAATGATGTCTTGTAACAATGAGTTTCACCTCAGGTTAATCAAGTATTTTAGGAAAAGACGTTTGCCTTTATCAATTTTCTGTGTGTTGTCTTTTCAATTTCACTTAATGTCCACGAGTGTAGCTTTATTTCTCTGTTTCTACCATTCATTATTTTCTAAGCCTGTGTAATGTCTTCCCTTATTCATCTCCTGTCTAAAGCAAACAATTCCAAATGTCTCAGTCACTTCTACTTGATTTGTAAGCTTTTAAGTATTTTTGTTTCATTTTTGTACCTGTCCTAATTTTGAAATGTACTTTTTAAAGATTAGAATTCCAGGCATAATCCTGCTCTGTAGGTTGGCAATAGGATATTACTTGTACAATTTTGATTCTTGTGACTATTTTTATATTTTTCATTTCATTTTCTCTGGGTGATCCCATGTGTACTGGAAAGATTTCAGGGGAATGTTCAGCACTATGCAGATTCTCACAAACACCTCTCACAAATACATTTTCACTTACCTGAGCATCCTAGAAGTGCTTCAGTTAGCATTTGTCACTGTGCTTTCTTTGTTGTCTACCAATTTAAGGGAAAATTCTGTGTTTTGGAAGTATTTTAGCGGGGTTTATTTTTGCTTTTTTAAAATTATCAAACACATTTATTTGTCAAATACAGGTGAAAGGCATTTGGAGTGGCTAATTCAGCCGTGTTCTGCTCCTTGTGAAACTAAATTGTCTGAAATGAAGCCCACGTATTTCTTCCAGCAGAGTTTTAAATAATTGCAGTTGCTATACTATTTAAGCTATTAAATTATCATCTTTTGAGGAGCTGATCTTTAAATGCCTCAGTTTGGCCTCTGCATTTTAAAACACCATTAAATCCCTTTTTCCAGGGTGCTGCCCAAACCTGAATTTATCAAGTTGTGGCTGATCCTCATCTATGAAAATGTAGTTTGTCACAAGGTGCTGGAAAACAGTTGATCTCCCAAGTCAGAGGCTGTTTCCATAACTGGTGGCTTTTCATCATTCAGAGAAACTTTATCAGGCTTTTTCTCATATTTGAGACCTCTGTAAATGCAGATGTAGAAAAAGCATGATGACTGATAGAAAACGTCTAAGCTACACAACTTTCACTCCTAACAAAGCAGCATTTTTGCAGGAAATTAGAGCTGAAAAATAGGAGTCCAGATTGCTCATCTTTTTTGCCTTTTGTTTGATCCCCAGATCTAAACGTCCAGTGCCAGTTTCGACCACAGCTCCCAGAATTGACTCTCCCAGGGCTGTAATTCCTCACCAGAAGGTAGGTGATACATTTCTCCTCAGCTAAAATGAATACCATTTTTATCTACTGTGGTGAAGGTAAATACCTACTACAGGAAATAGCTTTTGCCTGTCCCAAATAAATAAACATTGAATGAATGCATAGGCAGCAAAACTGTGCAATGCAATTATTTTGCTAATGTCTTGTTAGCAGAACCAAAGCATCCAGCTAGCCTCTGATGTGATTTGGTCTAACCCATTCTGAGCAGCTTGTTTTCATCTAGGCTGTAAGAGGCTACTAAAGCTTCTTAAAATATAGACTTGCTGCTGTAGATTCTTGGGAAAAAACATTAGACTGTACTTCAGTCTATCCAAATCCTGACTACAACTGAAAAGACACTGACTTGGAAAGAGGACATAAGGGCATTTGAAAACTTGCATCATATTGCATTCTTCTCACAGTATCCAGGAGACATGAGAATAAAAAAAAATCAAGAGGATAAGTCAATTTAATGAATAACAGCAAGAAACAGAGGAAATGGATGGCTTGGTTTCTGTTGTCAAAGCTCATCATCTTTCATAAAACAAACGTTCATTTTAGAATAAACAGCATTCAGTGGCTGTACCTGGCAACTCATCTTCTGTATCTTTGGAGGCACTGAGGAGCAAAGAATACCTGAAAGATAGTATATATCCTTAGGCTCAAGCACTGGGTAGGACATTTGTATTGCTGACACATTTCATTAGATAACTGAAGAAGAGGTAAATCTCCATTGCTGCAGTTTATCCCATCTGTCAGTGCCAGTTTCACCCCTACCATGCAGTATAAATGAGAAACACTGAATATCAAACCACATGGGGAATTAGGTGATGTTCTACTGGTTTGGGCAGTTCTGACTTCCATAGATCAATTTTAAGTAATTTTTATAAACATCATGCTTTCCAAATTCAGAGGACAGAAGGTAACAGCATCCCTGAAACCGCTGCAAATAGGTTCAAACTAACAGAAGAGAATGCACTTGGGGAGAATAGTTTGATTCAATTTTATTTCACAAAATTTTAAATGAACCTGCCTGGGCATTTATTAGTTGAAAAAGAAATAATGTTATTTCAGGCTGGATCTAGTAAACCTTTTGGCAAGGGAAGATGAAATTAAGAATATATCTTGCTCAGAGTTATTTCTGCTTATATCATGACTTTATAAAAGTTATTTTGGAGAAAGTTATTGGAAGAGTCCCAAAACAGTACTGCGAAATTCCTAGAACAAAAGTGATGGACCATTTTAGTTAGATTGGTGTTTGACAGCACCAGCAAAGTAATAGAGTCTTCTTAAGAAGAAGAGTACTTATTTTCCCTCAAGAACTACACAGAATGCTGTTAGTTTTCAAGGCAGTGAGTTGATATATCTCTTCAGAGTTATTCACCAGCACAAGACTGACAACTACTTTTTGGGATTCTCAGTAGCACCTGTGCAGGTATGAAAAATTTGTCTTCTTCCACCACAGGCACACAGACCTTTTTTATACTGATTTTCACAACTCTGTATTAGGTGCATTTCTTCCCTGACATGTGCCAATTTAAAAAGTACTGCCATAGGTATTCAGAGCAGTTTACCAGACAAAATATTTTTCTCCCTTTACTATCTACCCTATAGAAAAGTTAACTCTATGCACTGTAGGGTTTTGTTTAGAGGTCCTAGGAGAGCCTTTGGTATGAAAGCCATAAAGACACTTCACATTTCCTATTCTAACCCTTCAGAGAGAGATGAGGATCAAAGGACTCAAGCTTGCTGTCTTGCCTTTGAGAATTCCATGCACTGGCACTTAGGAAAGATTTATAGGAGCTGTTGGAGGCAGCCTATACTGAATGGGCTACAGGCAGTACTGGCAGCTGGAAAAGAGAGCTGCTGGAACCTTTCTGGAGGAAAACAGTAGCATCTAGGAGAAGATATGGTGGAAAACAGGATATCTAGCAGCATTCAGACAGATCTTAGGTGTAGGGTCTTTGGCCCAGGAGGAAGAGGTAGCAGTAGAGTGCGGGAGTGGAGGAGCCCTTTGCAGGTCAAGAGGAATGATGTTTGTGTCACTAGTATACACTAGTAGACAACAGTAATTTTTAACTGAAGAATTCTTCGTCTCTGGGGATGGTGTGGAAGGGAATGAAGGCATTGAGCTATCAGAGAAGTCTCAAAATCCAGAATAAACTTTCTTCACTAATACAACCAGTCCTGTGGTGATGTTGCAGTAAGGTATGTTACAATATATATACTTTAAAAATTAAGGTTTCTTTGCTTGTCCCTTTGTTATTCCTAGTAACAGTATCACTGTAGAAATGAAGAATTCTGTGACACGTACGCAGAAGCTGTCACCTCCACATCACTCATTGACAATGTTTAGACTGATAGTTCATGTGAAGTTAATATGATTGTATTTCAAAAAAACTCAGCAAAAAGCTACATTATGAGACAGTGTCATTCTCAAACACCAAGAGGAGTTTTTCTCACCTTTATCTGGTTAAGGTTAAGGCATGGCAGTGGTAGCTAAACAATCTGCATGTGCAAGTTCAGTGTCTAGTTTAACTATAAATTCTCTTGTATATTATTGCTTGTCTGATTGAAGCTTTGACTAATTTTCAAGCATGCATTTCTTCTTTGACTGCTATGGTCATGGGTTTTGTGTTTTAGGAAAACAAGCATGCATTCTTTCACAAAGATCAGTCATGCTTCCACAAAGCTGATCAGTGTTATTGATGACACAGGTTCTGCCATAAGTATGGCATAACTGAGCTGTAGGGCTATTACTGGAAATACACATCTGATTGATTTGCAGCTTCACTATATTCTTACCTGACATTAATCTTAAACTGGAAGCAATGTTCATTTAGTCAAAAGAGTTAGTCAAGTCTTTTGCACAGATGTAGCATACCTGGAAGAAGGGGCATAGGTAATATTGAAGGCCTAAATCCAAGGATTGAAACAAAGCCATCATCAGTCAGTGAGTTCCTGCAGCTTTTCAGGGGGGGCACAACACAAGTGAAGCTTTAGCTCAGTGCAGTTGAAAACATTCAAGATGAAGCTTTAAGGCTAAGCATAGCTTTAACATTTGACCCTTTGCATAAAGATATTGACAGCCTTTTTAATGCTATAACTGTTGTTTATTACACAGTACTGAACACACTTGTTTTGGAGTCCCAGTGAGGGTCTTGTAATATCATGATTTGTTTCCTGCCAAATTTGGGAACCTATGTGGCTAAGAGAAAATAGATGAAGAGATGATTGACTTTTTAAGTAAAGCATAGGATGGAAGAGCTGGCTGAGCCAAAAGCTGTTTCTTGGGTGTCTTTGTGCAGAGCTGTTTAGTGCCATGGTGCCTCCATTCCCTTTTTGTCTATAAAATGTTTAAAGCCACAACTGCTTCTTGAGCATGTTGGGTGATCAAAAATTGTTCTCCCAGAAGTGCAAAAAGGTGAATAACATTTGTACAGTCATAGCAACAGATAAATAGAAAATGAGCTGTCACAGGAAGAGAACCTGCAGAACTGGTATTGTGTCTTTCAATATAAACTTGATTCCCATTTCACTGATACATAAGATGGAGCTTTTACCTTTCACAGAAACTGGGTGTGATAAAGAAAAAAATAAAAATATTTCAGAATGGAAATTGAGCTGATTCCAACTTCCTTCTAATTCCAAATTTTTGTGACTCCTCTACGTTTGTCAGTTTTAAGCTCATTTACTGACATTACGCTGCGAAATTCAAACGAAGTTTTCCTCTCTCAGTAAGGGATAGCTGCACAATCCCAGCATCTTCCTTGAGGGAAGCCCATTGCTCAGTGTCAGAGCCTCCTCTTCTGGTCGGCTGGAGGGGTAGCATCACCCTGGCGTAGCTGGAAGTGGCAGCTTGCTTTTCCAGCCTCAGAAACTGAAACAGAATGGAACGGGAGAGATGGGAAACAGGGGAGCGTTTGTCGCTGTTGGCTGCTTTTCACATGATGCAATGCCCAAAGCTTGTGCTGCTGCTCAGTATTAGAAATTCGACCTTCCCAGTCAGAAATGGTTTCAGAAATGTTGCACTGATCTGGTTTTGCCACTGGAGCAAAAAAAAAAAAAAAATCTAAAATTCCTACCAGGAATAAACTGAATGAGAGATTCTTGGTAAATCATAAAAGGAAAGAGCTAAATATGCTGACAATTAGGCAGAAATTATGCAGCTGCTCCCTTAGACATGTGCTGTTTCATCCTCTTTGCCCCTCACAACACAGGGAAAACAACTACCTTAAAACTACCATGAATATGAACTCAGAATGGACAGTGCTAACCTGGCACTGCTGGTTCTGAGGAGTTCTGGTGTTGTTACCAGCCTGCTGGTATTCCAGCTAGAAATTCTTTGAGAAGTGAAACCAAAACTCCATTTCTGTCATAAAGGTGAGGAAAATCATCAGCCATCCTGTTTTATGGCCATCCTATAAATTTCCCTTTGCCTACTGTTACTGCCCAGTAACAGCAGAACTATGAAATGCATTAGGATTAAGGAAATCTCTGACATTTCTCCCATTTGCAGTCAAAACTGATACTTTATGACGAGATTTCCTTGTGAGCCCTTTTATTACAGGGTTTAGGAAGAAAACCCACAGTTAACTTAGCCAAAAGTCAGAGTGTTTTCAGGGTAATGAACAGTTATACCTCTGGAATATCCTCTTCTTCTCTATTGCCTCTATATTTATTTTTTGTTTAATAATTGTTTTGTCCCTCTCCACTGGCATATGAAACTCAATCGCACAACTAGTGACTTAATTTTTGAACACACCTTTCTGCATTTGTGCCTCTTTTGCAACACATTTTTAGAGAGAATCCCTGCTTTTGGTTTGTTTAATGACACCTGGATGCTTGCAAAAGGCCACCGAAGGGTGGTTTGTGCTGTTTTCCATGTCAGTGTATAATGACTGAAGTATTTCAAATGTATTTACTAAAAGGCAGAATCTGAAAAATGCTTTTAGGATTATCTGTTTCTACAGCCTCAGGCAGCTATTAATGCCAGCTAA